TGGGTTATGAGGTATGAAAGCTGTTATGAGTGTAGGATAGGTAGAAACCCAGGGTCACCCTGTGATCTTACTTGAGCAGATGACGCTGGCCTCTTGGCTGCACTTGCTTGATTTTGCTTGGACCCAGTCTACACACTGCCAGGAGAAATCTTCGTTGCCGGTGCAGCGGAGAGGTACAGTCAATGAGATTTGTTCTCCTACTCTTTGGAAGGTTCCGGACTGGGGGATCTTGTGATGTGTTCCACACTTAAGCTCTTTGCACACCATATCTGCTTTGGCTTTATCTGTATGAGGTAAATGTTTCATTTGATAAAACATGATATACAATGCTAATATAGCCATTTGATTTACCTTTAAAAATGACCAGTGAGCCTACACGTCTTCTGCGTTGCAGCAGACTCAGCAGATGCTGCTAACCCAGCAATGGACGTTGTCAAACATGACCGGCAAGATATGCATCAACCATACACAGTAAGCTTTTAAAATCTTCTGGAATTTTGTTCTGAAAGTTGCTCTCTGTTTAAAATAGACTTCTTGTTTTCAGGGAACATTCTGCATATTTAAAGTGGTGGTGATGGGAGCCAGGAATCTGGATGACCATACAATGCTACTATAGGCATTTTATTTACTTTCCAGAATGACCAGTGAACCTACACAGAATTTATGCATTTTCATATTTAATGCTGATAGTAATAATAGTAATATGTCTGGAAAAAAAAAATTCTGTAGGGACTGTTTTACCTCTCTGCCATGACGGAATTTTAAACATTAATGCCAAAATCCTTAAAACAATCATAAAACAAGGAAATTTCACATCGAACCCATTGCTGAATTTAACTGTATAGGCTATGTAAGCTTCAGCCTAGGGCCTCACAAGTGCAGAGGGCCTCGCGTCAGTGAGGTAAAAAAATAAACTACATTATTATAATTACATTATACAGGATAGCCAACTCTAGCATGTTTAAGTCTTTTCTCAGGCTCTCACGCGGCACATACTATTTCTGCATGATGACATATTGTAGACCACTGAGAAGAGATTGGCTACATTTCTGACAGCTCTGCCTTTCGAGACTGAGCAGCATGGAGGGAAAGTTGTGCAGAGTGACGAACACCTTTAGAAAGCTGGAGTGTCAGAGTTCTCTTAGAACATGTGCTAAATTCATCACACCTCCAGTTCAAGTACATGACTCAAAAGATTTAATTTTATGATCTAACAGTGGCAACACATGTAAATCTAACAGACAAAAAGGAGCGGTTCCATCGTCAGTAGATTGAGAGTTCGATCCCTGGTGATGCTACAGGCATCTGTGGCCGGGAGTCCTACAGAGCACAACCGGCCTCACTCTCTCTGGGTGGTAGAATGGTCTTCCCTCTCCCACCACCACCACGATTGGAATAAACATGGGCATCTATAACTGAACAGAAGGGTTCTCCTCCAAGCGTGTTGAGCTGTCCAATGACATTGCATTGGCAGCAGTTCAAAAAGACACAGTGGCTTTAAATTACTTAGAGAAATCTGCTTTACATTTTGTTTACTTGAGGCTCATCATAGTAAGATTGCAGGTTTGGTCCCAAACTGTGGTCTGGAGTCCAAGAGAGCATAATTGTGCTGTTGGATTCAAATGTGGGCATCTGTTTGCTGACATAACAGAATTGGCATTTAGTTTTCTCCTCCAAGCATGCTGAGCTGTTCAGTGATGTTGTGTTAGCAGTCGTTTGAAAAGATGCTGTGGTCCTAATGTGTCACGGATGAAGGATGTTCTAGCCTTCACCCTCCCAGCTTGGTAGCATTGTGTGAGAGGAGGAGACTTAGCTAGAGTTCTGAATTGAACATGACTAAATTGGGTCAAAAACAAAATTAAAAAATGAATAAATAACCGAATAAATGAAATTCTGTTAACTTATTATTGGAATTAAATTAAGAACAAAATTGTAATGCAGCACATTTCATACCTTTGGAGTTAAAACTGCAAAGTATTTTACAAGTACTTTACAACACACACACACACACACACGATCATATGCAAAAACTTGAGTGCCCCTGGTCAAGTTACATTATATACAGATTTTTTGTTTTGTTAATTCTAAGCAATGATACGTTTACACAGAGAAGACAGTTTTGCACTTTTCAATGCAAAGTTACTGTGTAGTCACTGAATTTAACACACCTGCACAAAAGTAATGGCACATTTTTATGCAAAACATATAACTTAACTGTGGGTTTCCCAAAATTTGTATACAACTGTAGATGTTATGTGATGGTTGAGGGAAGCCTAACTTACTCCATTCATCATCGCACACGCTAACGTAGCCATTTGTTGTGTTGAACTGGACGACCCCAGCGCACTCGTCCATTTTTCCATTCCTGTTCAAACTCAGCTCTATAGACCCTAGAGTGAAAAAACCTTGTCCATTTATTATGTTTCCATGCATTCAGATTGTCAGAATGTGTCACGTTTTAGTGGCCTCAATATCATCCAAAACTACCAAAACAAATATGTGCAAAATGTTGATATTTCTTATGTTTTATAGAGTTAAAACAGCCTGGGGTCAAACCGACCCGATAAACACCGAAGTGTACCAAATGTGTACAGAACACTGAAAACATATCATCATGTTATTTTTATGTTGACCCAGATGTCCCTATTGAATTAGTCATTAAATGTCATTAAATATGAAGCAAAAATGATGTCAATCATTTATTAAGAGACATTAAACATTGATTGGGGTCAAATTGACCCCAAAGATAATAGGAGGTGTAAAATTCCTCCTGTTTTCCAGAGCACAGGCCTTCTGTAGTCAGTCACATCATTGCCTTTGCCCTCCAAGCTGGATTCAATTCACCTGAAAAAGCAAGTTTTTTTGGCTTACACTCCCAGAATAATGAAAACATCACTCGTACCTGAGCACTTCACTGTTACGTAGTTGTCTGTTTCGCAGTGGGTGACCCTGGGTTTCTTGCAGTCCCACAGGTTGTTCTCTGTTCCGCTGCATTTTACCTCATCCATCCAAAATTTTGTGGGTAGTGGAGGGTGACTGTAGCTGTCTTTGTTATGGCCAGATTCGACATGTTGGCCACAGCCCAGAGATCTGCACACTACCTCACCATTTTTACGATCTTGACCATTTTCACTGTTCCAACCATGATAGCACACCAAGCCCCACCCGCCAGCATTGTGCACCTCCAAACGGCCCTGGCATGGGCCATCTGGTCCCCGCAAAGCTATCCGGTTCTGTGCTGTAGGGAAGGATTCATAATCACACAGAGACGTATGGACTGTAAAAATGATTTGGAAAAGCCTGACTGCATTAACATGGAACTTTAATAAGTTAATTGAGTGTACAGACACTGTTATTGCTCTGTTAACTTGTTAACTCATGTCATCACTATACACAGAGTTTTAGTCCATAGGTGAAGACTTATTGTAGCCACACTCCTGCATTTTTACGTCCCTGTCTCTGATGGTCACATGTGAGGGAAAGGGATCCCAATGTTTTGAAGTAAATCTGTCCCAAAGTCTGAAAATCAATGTGAGCAGTAAGAATTGTCACTACCGAAGCATATTTTCTGCAAATAAGTAAACTTGTTTGTGTATTAATAAAAAATCTTATAATTTTATTTGTGTACAGCTGTTCAAAGCTGTGTTTGCTAGTCACGTACTGGCTAGTGTTTTTGAGTTCTGCTCAAAATTTGCCAAAACCGTCACTGCTGAAATAGTCACTACTGAAACATTTGGTAAAGTTTCAGTAGTCTTATGATTGTTTTGATGGTGACAAAATGAAATGTTCAATCATTTATTTCATTAAAATAAACATAATTAAGATATAGAGTCACTCAAAGTGACATGATTTTAGTCTTAAGTCCAAGTCAGTTAGATGTTAACTTTTACTTTGAAAAAAAAAAAAAAATGGTAAAATGATCCACGTATTGTCGTTTCCTGCCTCATTATAGCATTATAGCATTTTGTGTGACATCACTATTCGTGTCACACATATACTACTGAAAATTTCAGCGCACCCCCACTTAAAACACCCTCCCCTGTCCCTCTAAATGCTTCAGGTTCAGTTCAATGTCTCATGGATAGTTTCATGGTCGCTCACTATTTGCTAATACGTTGGGTCATGGTTTTTTGGCTTACACTGCCAGGATAATGAAAACATGACTCATACCTGAACATTCCACCACTACATAGTTGTCCGCTTCGCAATGGGTGACGCTGGGTTTCTTGCAGTCCCACAGGTTTTTCTCTGTTCCGCTGCATTTTACCTCATCCATCCAAAATTTTGGTTTGGTTTGTGAAGGGTGCTTGTACCTGCCCTTGTTATGGCCAGATTTGGCATGCTTTCCACAGCCCAGAGATCTGCACACTACCTCACCATTCTTTTCATCTTGACCATTTTCACTGTTCCAACCATTAGAGCACACCAAGCCCCACTCGCCAGCATTGTGCACCTCCAAACGACCCTGGCATGGGTCATCCAATCCCTTCAAAGCTATCCGGTTCTGTGCTGTAGGGAAGGATTCATAGTCACACAGAGATGTATGGACAATAGTAGATGCAGATTTTTTCTAATATTAATAACAACATTCAGCATCTTCAGTTCTTGTATCCTAATTAGAATAAACAGGGTTACAGTGATAATGATTCAGGCTCCAATTCTACAACAGAGTACATGGGTGAAATTGTTTTTATTCCAAATGAGTTCAGCTCCAGTCATAAACAAATAATGACTTTTGCAGGTCTGCAGTGGATCTGAATTGTTATGTATCCCCAAGGAATTTTGCCTACTTTGTTCATTGGGGTATACATATGTGATACAGGCCAAATTCATTCATCACCATGAAGTTTAGATAATACACAAAATGAGACCAAAGATCTTTTAAGATTAAAATTTAAACAGATTTAAACAAACAACAAGAGCAGATAGAACAGCTTTAGTCTGTGGACTAAAGTGGACTAAACAGCTTTAGTCTGTGGACTAAAGTGGACTAAACAAACATCCCCCAACACGACCAAAACCGCTCTGCCTTGTAGGAGGTACCTTTAGATATTTAATTTCATGTTTTTGTATTGATCTATGCATGAAGTTTAATCCACCTTTGCTGCACTGATAATGCTAAGGCTGTCATTTCTCACTGCCAGCTGAGCTGAGTGTGTGAATTTAACCGTATATGGTCAATGGAAAATATGACTGAGTTTGCTAAGCTGAGAGATGGTTAACCACAGATTCTGCTGAAGCTCTTTTGCATCTTATCTGCCTGTGATTCTCAGCTCTGTGCTTCTGACAGAGCTGCACATCAGTGCAAATTTTGAGATAACACCATGTTGTCGACCTAACAGCACTTACAGTTAAACCACAGTGCTGCCCAAAACCTGAGTGTGTGGAATTAAAAAAGACAAACTTACTGCGCAACGTCTAGACCACCACTCAAAGTCAAAAACTGACATGCATCACAAATTAGGGTGCAAGTTGCACTCAGATGCAGGTTCTTCCTATTCTTTTTCATTATCGTCCTCTTCTTCTACTTATTATTATTATTATTATTAGTATTATTAGTATTAGTAGTAGTAGTAGTAGTTGTAGTAGTAGTTGTAGTAGTTGTAGTAGTGTGAACACTTGAAAGGTTATTTACACTTTTAGAATTCAACATTTTGGAAACTCAGCAAATAGTAGACATTTTGCAAAATGATCAGAAGAATGCCATTTTTAGTAGAACAAGTGTTTAAAAAAACAAAAAACAAAGCATGACGAGGAGTGTTCGAACATTTTACTTATGACAGTATAGGTAATCTGCAGAACATTAAGCTTTGTTGTAGTTACCTAAAGCTTAGAGATCATTAATGGGGATGATTTGTTTTGATACTCTTCATAACATCTTTCCAAATCTTAAAGGTTCCTGTGTGGGATGTTTCTTTTGCATTTTCCAAGCAGAACGCTTATCAAGTTTTCTGTTATAACATCTGAACTAGAAAGTTGAAGAAATTCGAAATTACTTTACTTTCGTAAAATTGCTCATTATAATTAACCAAAGGAAAAATAAAACATTTGAGAGAGTGAAATTAATCACTGGCAAGAATCCATAATAAATTTACCAAGGTTAAAAAAATTATTTTAAAATAGGATTGAGAATTTGATTATTTTATTGACTTTGTAATGATCTTTATTATTTTGATCTGTCAGCAGATCATACAGACTGCAGTTTAAAGTATACATTATGTATATATATATAGGAGTACATTAAAATAAATGATCCCTTTTAATGATCTCTGCCTGCACATCAGATTAAACACAACTTTAGTCTGCTGGTCTTCAGCACAGCTGACCAGCTCAATAATGAACAATTTGTTAAAGTGCTGGAACCACAAACGTACACTTCTGACCACTGCAGTGAGATTTATATTAGTTCCTGTTGTGTAATCATAAAACTTTCATAAAAAGTTCATGCAGTTGTGTTATGATTATAAATCAATTAATGTAAATATACAATATTAATGAATATATATTTAGAAATATATGTAAAAATAAATATGCAATAATAATAATAATAGGAAGCAGAAGAAGAAGAAGAAGAATATTTATCAATATAAATAAATTAATATTTAATGCTAAACATTCACAAGCTTTTAAAACTCCCATGTGTAATATCTTCACTTTCACAATCTGTTCACCTATAGGTTCTCACACATTCACTCTCAAGAGCAAAAGGTTCCTAAATGGTTCTTGGTATGGATATATAGATCTAGGAAAAAGCCACAGAACCTTTGCATTCAGTGAAAAGTTCCTTAAACATTTCAAGGGTTCTTTGCAAATGATCACATTTACTGAAATGGTTCTTTAGAGAACCAAACAAAACTGGTTCTTCTATAGCATCGCTACAAACAACGCTTCATAGCACCTTTATTTTTAGAAGCATCGACCAACACATCACCTCAAATCATTTTCAGATGAACTCTTATTTATTTATTATTTTTATTTTATTTTATTTTGTTTTTATTTTATTTTATTTTATTTTACCCAAACTTTTGTGTACAACTGTATTTAGAAAGTTCAACATCTTCTCTGTCACAACAAAACCTAACATTCACAAAACCTTTCACTAGAAGGAAAAATATTTTTAAATTATAATAGAAATTAAAAATGAAAAGATATGTCATCAATTCTTTTGGAACAATTCTATTGGTCAGCTTCCGACAGCACACATGTACTTCACAAAGAATGAAGTCTACATTAATATATCGCAGAATATAACCTCTTTTGTTGTTTTTCAGTTTTTGACATCATTTGAAAATACCTGTTTACCTTTACATTGTGTGTAGATTTCATGATGAATGAACCAAAAGAAACGGCACAAAATGACTTGGAAAAAAGTCTGGTTCCATTGACTTACATTAAAAATAAAGTAGGTTTTTTCCTTCTCCTGTAAAGTTACCATTTTGGAGATACATTTTGTTCCAACAACAGCTGTGATTACACTGATCACTAGCAGTAACTGACTTTGCCTCTTAAACTGCAGTAAAAGGCTGTTTGGAAGCAAAGCACCTTTACTCGTTTAATGGTTTTATCTGAAACACCTTTTAAAGGATGTTTGACTGAAAAATCAAATATACATAATTTCCCCCTCATCATAAACATAGTCGATGAGCTGAGAGATGTTTGGTGTCTTTCATTACTTTTTAGCTATATTAGCCTTTTAGCTGCAGTGCTAAACTAAAGATGCAAACTTCTGACACCAGACATGTCTTAGCTGATTACATTTGGATTACGGAAAAAATTCTGTGATTACATTTTTGTGAACTATTTCTTTAATTTACCAATTAAAACATGAGCATCTGAGTTTATTAATAAAGCGAAGTGATTGAAGTTTTATAGCTTTGATCACCATTTCCATCTAATTCATTTAATTAACTAATTACTGCCTGCTGTTTGGTCTTGACCTCCTATGTACAGTGGACTGGAGTTAGTGGTCATTGTAGGATTTCCATCATTCCTCATCTATCTGTGCATTTCCATACACACTGTTAATTGATTTTAGATTGCAGTGTGAACATTTCTCCCAGAAAACATCCTGTGCAGGTATAATAATCTATTATACCTGTTGTCTGAGAAAACCTTAATCACCGGGATTATATGTGTTGATAGGACTGAAATAGATCTTCAGGAGTTTGAAGGGGGTTAAAGCTGTCCTCCTATCAAAAATAGCTTGAGTAAATAAGAATCAGGTCTGATAAAAATAGAACTGCAGTGTAATTTCTTAGTACATCCAGCATCCGTCAGCATAGAAACTGAAGTTTGTTGATATTGATTCATCCCTGTTTTGGATCTTTTTGATCTAAATCTGTTGGATTGTAATACTAAATGCCAAAGTGAGAGATGAACCCCTTAAATGGCCAGGGCCCACCGGCCGGCCCCAAGTTTTATTCTACATTTCTATAACCTAACAATAACACAGCCAGTTTGCATTGAAATCCCTGTAGTTACTGAATAATAAGCCTTAGTATGTAATAAACTGGGGATTTTAAGGGGTTACCTAACATAAGTTAAAGGTGGGTAAAAAAGTAGATTATTTTCCACACAAATATACTTTAGTAGAGGTAAAATTCTGCTGTCAGAGCAAAACCTCGTATCTCCAAAATAATAACTTTACAGCTAAAAGAAAAAACATACTTTACTTTTAATGCACATCTATATAACTGGACATTTTTCCAAGTAATTCCGTGCCATTTCATTTGGTCTGTTCATTATGAAATTCAGGAATGATATAAAAGGAAACAGGTACTTTCAAATTTTGTCAAAAACTGAAAAAGGACAAAAATGGAGCTGTGAGCGAAAAGTATGATGGATTGAAAGTCCACCTACATTTGATTTGAGGACATGCATAACTGCATAAATCTAACTCTGCATTTAGCTCTTGTAAACTTATAGTCCTCATTTTCACACCAAGCCAGGACTCAAGTTTTATATACACTTCTATAACCTGAGAATAGCTCAGCCAGTTTGCATTGATGTCCATGTAGTTACTGAATAATTAACTTTCATTAAAGCTGTGATTCAGTGCACACGTCCAAAAAAGAATATGCCATCTGTTCTTTATATTGGATGAAAATTTCATGATCAATAGAAATGTTCCAAAATTGCAGGGAATGAAATCACTGTAAATGAACTTACATTAAAAGTTAAATGCTTTTGCGTTCTCCTGTAAAGTTACCATTTTGTAGATAGAAGTTTGTTCAAAATAAAGGTGTTAAAAAGAGTTTCACTTTCAGTGGACAGTTCTTCAAAAATCATTTTTGAAAATGAAATATGCAGAAATATGGAGAACCTTATTAAAGTTTATAGAACCTCTACATAATGTAAAAGCAATTAGTTTTGTTCCTTATGAAGAACCATTTAGGAACCTTCATGTTTAGGGTGTCTAGGTATTTTGAGTTTGTTGGATGCGCAAATACAATATATATCATCAGATATTCACACCTACATTTCACATCTCAGTGCTTTTGTTCATTCTGTGATCTAAAGGAACTTTCATTAATGCTGTAATTCAGTGCACATAAAAAATGAGGAACATGTCGTCTGTGCTTTATACTGAATTATGCTTTTTAAAATACAAACATGCAGGTTATTCTCACCAAAATGACACACACTGGGACCCAAATGAACATGGTTAAAACTTTGATTCTTTCTGGATGAATGATTTAAAATAAAGCTGAATGATTCTTTTGTTGTTAAATGCATTTTAGTAACATTTTCAAATTGAAGTGACCAAATTCTCATTACTGCAGCACAGTAAGAGAATTCATTTTTGTCATTTTTTTGCTCTCTCATTTTTTTTCCCCACTAAACTGTTTACTTTTGTTGGACTTATTTTGCTGTTTGTCTCAGTGCTGGGAGGGTATAAACATTGACAGCCACTGAGATTTTTTCTTTTTTTATTTGTGCCACATAACATTTTATTCTTTTGGTTCACTTTTTATAGAGTTTCTATGGGAAACATTAAAGTTAAAAGATCCAAAGGTTTAAAGTAATGAACTCCTTTTTGTCACTAAATAAAAAAGCAAACCAAAAAGATATCAGTAATGAGAAATAGATAAATGGACACATTGCAGTAATGAGAATTAGCGTAATAAATGCTAAAAACATTAATAATTTTCAATAACTTCTTGCTGTACCATTTAGTGCTAAAACTGATCTGCTAAATTACAGCCGTAAAGTTTGAACACCCTGGTCGAATTACATGTTTTGCTTATTTTTTTAAAGTGAAAAATAAATGAACACATCCACACACACTTCTGCATATTTGAATGCGTTATTACTGTTTATTTGCTGAATTTAACACATAGGAAAAATAATAAACCATAAGAAAAAAAACATTTTCTGTTTTCCGGTGTGTTAAGTGTGCACTACAACTTGCCGAAAATGCCACATTTATGTGTGTTGTCTGTAGAGGATGTGTGGATGTTCGCTTAAAAAATCAACAAAATATGTAATTTGACCTGGGTGTCCAAACTTTTGCACGACTAAATATGCATATTTTTCATCTTCATGATGATTATGACACTCAAATATTTGTGGACAGATCGAGAATAACCTACATATCAAAGTCATAATTTTAGTAGTTAGAATATTTTTGTCTGTCATCATTTATGTTATATTATGTGAACTGTTGAACTAAATAAGGTGGTTCTTCAAGGGTTCTTTATTTAAAAAATGATTCTATACAGAACCATGAACACTCAAAGAACATTTTGCATGATTAAAGTGTTCTTTGCATCATGAAGGGGTTCTTCAGATTGATGGAAAATGTGCTGTATATGGTACTATGTACAACCACAATTCCAAAAAAGTTGGGATGCTGCGTAAAATGTTAATGAATATAAATAAAAACAGAATGCAATGATTCAAATCTCATAGACCCATATTTTATTCAGAGTAGAACATAGAACACATATCAGATGTTGAAAGTACCTTTTCATGAAAAATATTAACTAATTTAGAACTCTGATGGCAGCAGCGCATCTCAAAAAAGTTGGGACAGGGTCAACAAAAGGCTGGACAAGTACGTGGTACTAAAAAAACAGTTGGAGGAGCAATTTGCAACTAACTCACATGACTGGGTATAAAAAGAGCATTTTAGAGAAGCAGAGTCTCAGAAGCAAAGATGGACAGACGTTCACCAATCTGTGAAAACTGCATCTAAAAATTGTGGAACAATTTCAGAAAAATGTTCCTCAACATAAAAACCTCCAGCAATTGGTCTCCTCACTTCCTAGACGTTTACAGACTGTTGTTAAAAGACGAGAGGATGCTACACAATCGTAGACACGGCCCTGTCCCAACTTTTTTGAGATGCGTTGCTGCCATCATGAGTTAATGTTTTTCATGAAGTGGTAAAATGTCTCACTCTCAACATCTGATATGTGTTCTATGTTCTATTGTGAATAAAATGTGGGTCTATGAGATTTGCTAATCATTGCATTCTGTTTTATTTACATTTACTTATATTTTGCACAGTATCCCAACTTTTCTCAAATGGGGTTGTAAAACCTTTTTGAAAAGGGTTCTATATTGCCCCAAAAAGGGTTCTGCTATAGTTACAATGCCAAGCTTTCTAGAACCTTTTTCAAAAGCGTCTATATAGAACCATATACAGATTCTCTTTTAATCTGAAGAACACTTTCACCAGGCAGAGAACGCTTTAATCATGCAAATGATTCTTTGAGTGTTCATGGTTCTGTATAGAACCATTTTCTTTACTAAAGAACCCTTGAAGAACCATCCTTTTTAAGAGCGTACCATTAGAGTCCTGCACCGGTTCAGCAAACACAAATATTTGTCCACTTAAATAATTAAATTTGAATCATTTTTTATCATAATAATGATTCTCCCCCTGTATCATGCATATGTAATGAGCCATTTGTCATCAGTGACTGTGAGTTCAGTATAAAGCAGATTATATTAAGCATTTAAAACAAAGAAAAAATACACTGAATTCAGAAGATGAACCACAACTGTAACACATGTTTATAATACAGAAAGATAAAAGGTAACTTGCCTTGTACAGCTGGTACTAAGTAGAAGAGCAGGAGCCACATGCTGGTGATAGGAGAGAGAGGGGTTAGAGTGCGCAAAAGAGAGCAAAACCCCTGTTCACCTGTTTATAAGCTGTCTGCGAGGTGACACTCCCATTACGCCCCACTGACCACAAAGACTCCACTTCAGCACAGACGTTTATAAAAGAAATAAAACCTGAATGAACTTAAATGTATTTTAATGTGAGCATGTTTGAACAATTTCTGTCGGTCCGTTCATCATGAAATGTTCACCCAGTGTAAAAAAGCAGTTTCGAATGGTGAAAAACAGTAAAAACGTTTGAGTAATGGTACAGACAAGATATTGAGATACTGAAAGCTACGTAATTAATTAAACAACACAAAACTTAAAATCACTTTGCAAATTAATAGCTGATCATTTTTTTCCTGATCAACATTTTACAGAAACTCTAATTGTTTCCAGCCCCATTTCTTCATTGAAATTTGAGAGCAAACATCCTGCACAGTACCATCAGCTTGAAGCTGACTATGATGTAGAGGCATAATCAAGCCATCTCCAAAGCAGATGTTATGCCTACCACCTTATACCATGTCTCCATGTAAAATAACATTACGACCTTTTTTTTAAATTTTAAATTTTATTTTGACCACTAAGTCATAGAGCAAATGTCAGCACAATAAAACTGAAATCGATTTCTTTTGTTTATATTGTGGCACTGGCCACTGGCTCCAGTTTTGTATTATGTGTGTTTGTATTTCATGTGTTATTTTGTGTAGTTATTGTGGGCTGGGGGGTCACAGTCAGTGGGGGGTTATGGCTTTAGGTGATCTCCCTGCTATTAATGTGATGATATTATATACCTGTTCAATAAAGACCACTCCTCATAACGGACTATGGCTTCCACTAACTCTGCTTCTGCACAGCGCTAAAATATGCTTCAAAACTGTTATAACAGCCACAAAGAGGGTAATTAAAATAATTTACATGTGAATTCATGGTTCATACACATAATTCAGTAATAAAAAAAAGCAATTATATTGTTACTCTGATTATAAAACAAAAGTCTTGGTAAACATTTCAAGAGCTCAGACCAGAAATCTCCATGAGGAGCCATGAGTATATGTGCCTACTGTAGCAAATGCATATGGAAATGTACAGCACTGTGCAAAAGTCAGAGACTGCCCTTTTTTCAATTTCCAGTTAAGACCTGGTAGACCACCAAAACTGCCCACATCAGATAAACAGCACTAAACAGTACTTAAAGCACTTTCATCTCTGAGAGAGAGGAGAAAATCAAGCTGCTTCTGATCTTGAAAAATTCACAGGTGTTTCTGTCCATCGTGTCACTGTGAGAAGACAACTCAACACTATGCGTTTGAAAGGATGTGTAGCTGTCAAGAAGCCTCACTGAGAAAAGAAAATAGACAAAAAAGAAAAACATTTGCAGCAGAACATCAAAGCTGGACGTCTGAGATGTGGAGGCTTTGTGGACTGATGAGTCTAGATGTGTAATTGGGATTACTCGGCTCATGAGAAGCAGAAAGTGCAACCAATTTCTAAAACTGAACTTTAGAGGTGTTAAAAATATCCCTGCAGATTTTTTCTTTGCAAAACTGAAAGCAGGTGTCCCAAAAAGAACAGAAGTAATAAAGGCCAAGAGTGGACACACTAAGTACTGAAAACATCGGGTATCATATGTAGTTGTTGAGCCGTGTGTAATCCTCTGTTAAGAAAACAGCATAACTAATTGCCATTTTCACTAAAAATTAAATGAATAAAAAGGTGGTCTCTGATTTTGCAATGTACTGTAGATGCTGGAGCAAATGTATGTAAATTTATGTATTACCTAAGTAGATGCTGCAGCAAATATACTGCATATGTAAATGAATGCATAAGCATGTGTAGACACTGCAGCATATGCATGCATATGTATGTATAGATAATGTTGCAAAGTGGTTAGAAAACTTTTCACCACAGGATTTTGACTACGACCAATAAAAAATGAGACCACAACCCCGCTAGAGTCTCTACCTCCAGTTTTATGGCCAATAAAGGGGTAGACGTCACCAATGTGCAAACTTCCTACGTGATGAAATGCGCCTGTCCATAGGAAACAAGCAAGTACACTGTGGTTTTGTGATCTCTCAGCATGCCAAGATAAAAAAAGAGAGCATGTCAGAAACGCTGAAGCATAAAAACCAGTATTAGATATGGCAGATTTTCTCACGAAGCCTCAGCAAGCAGACAGTCTGGTACAGTGAAAGAAAAAAAATGTTGTTAACTGAAACCTCATTGCAAAGAAGATCACTTAGCGTGCATCTGGCTCATAATGGTGGTGTTGTGATATCTATAAGACAAATATAGCCATTTTAATTACTATACAAAAATAACAGTGAACCTACATGTCTTTTGAGTTTTTATATGTAAAGTTGATTATGGTAAAATGATGTTAAATCAGAAAAATAAAAGGGTTCTTTGGGAACCATTTGGCCTCTAACACCGTGCAACACCGTGCAAGCACTCCTCTGCCATTACTGTATTAAAAGTACTTTTCAGGCCGAAATCTTTTTGCAAAACTGCAGACACCAGGCTGTATATTTGTAACCCTTTTTGTGTAATTACTTTCCATAATGGAGCTTAAGAGGTATTAAACTATTCAGTTATCTATATATTATTCATTATTATACATTACACCAATCTATGCAGCTCACCAGCTTACAGTTTATTCTCTAATGAAGATCAGATGTGAGCTCAATAATGTAATATTTCTAGTAGGATACTGAGCTGTTAGCCTGCTACCTGCACTAGGACTTGACTAAAGCACTGTTAGCTCCATGCACTGACACTGTAGAACAAGAACTGAGTAGCATGGAATCAGAGCGGTAGTGTAATTTTACTGTAATGTTACTGTTCAGTTCATGAACTCTACAGGAACAGTTCATATATGTTTAAGACTCAAGACTAACCTACATAAATATCACATAAATCAATAAATAAATACTATATTACATAAACACTTTGAACAATAATAAGTGTAATTTGGATCTCACTTGAGTAAGCTTACCATGTGCATAGTATCACAGGCTGTTCATTCCCTGCGCAGATTTTAATTTACCCATGAATGTGTCAAAAAGTATACACTAAGCATCACTTTAAATGTTTCCGTTCATTATATTACATATTAATTAATTTAATGAATATTTAACAAAAAAAGTTATGTAATTGTAATGCGGCATTGCTGTACTTTTAATGAATATATAGTTTCATGTAAAGCATTACCAAATTTTCAAAAACAAAAAGTTGAGACATAAAAACAGGCAGCAATGATTTGTAAATACTTTTTGACCTGAATTCAATTGAAAATAGTACAAAGACAAGTTTGTTGTTTTTTGCATACATACATTTTTGCATACTTGAAAAAGACATTGTCTGGACGGCGGCATATGTTGCCAAAACATGTATATATCATTCAGCATTAATGGCGCCTTCACAGATGTGCATGTCACCCATGCCATGTGCACTAATGCACCCCTATACCATCATGAATACTGGCTTTTGAACTGTACACTGATAACAAACCGAGTGGTCTTTAGCCCAGAAGACACAGCGTTTCCAAAAAGAATTTCAAATGTTGATATGTTGGATCACAGGATACTTTTCCACTTTGCTTGCACTGCAAACAACAGGGGTTCTAGCCACTCAATTTTTAGTGTCGTTGTGAATGAACTTCCGAATCATATTTATGAAGGTTTGGTTAAAGCATTCAGCCAGTCCATCCGTTTGCAGCCAGTCCATCCGTTTGGGGGTGGTAAACACTACAACATAAACAAATCGATTTAATGCCCAACAATTTGTATAGTTTGTGTAAAGTGCATGACATAAACATAGTGCTCTTTCGGGATTCCAACTCAGGAGATCACTTTGAAGAGCGCCTCTCCAATCGTACATGTTGATATGTTGCGAAGGCACACTGCCTCTGGATATCGCGTTGCATAATCTACTAAGACCAATACAAAGCGATACCCACGTGTTGTTCAATCCAATGGTCTGACGAGATCCATGCCAATTCTTTTGTAGGGGACCTTGATTAATGGAAGGGGTACAAAGGCGCTTTTGGGACAGCAGGAAGCTTCGCGGGGGTGTGTGTGGGGGGGGTTGGAGGGTGCTGACGGTGTTGCTCCAGAGTCCAACTGATTGGAGTATGACAAGCTAAAAAAGTGACTGAGCGGGGAGCTGTTGGGTGGCTAGTTGGGCTTCCCCCATGAGCAGGGGCAACAGTCGGATGGCCCAGTCCTTCTTTGGCCACCCTCAGTCTTCCATCACTCTCTCAAAGAGCTCCACAAACGCTTCTGGGTCATTCTGTGGAGTCATCTTCAAGATGGTGGCTGGAGCTGGAGTACTGGTGGCTGCCAACAAGCTCTGCATCAGCATCCTGTCCATCTCTTGTCCCTGGGCCAGGGCCTCGAAACAGGACTGGTTTTACCTCTGACAATCCAGGAGAGCCCTGATGTTGGGTCTGCTGCAGGAGGGAGAGCGCTTTAACAATCTCACCAAGCAGCGAGGACTCCATGGCGACGTTCGACCAAACTTTTCGGCACCACTGTAACGATTTTAGAAAGGTGGGAGGAATGAGGACACCAGGAGCAGGGTGTGGAGACACAGACTTTCCTTTATTCAAAGTATAAATCGAAAGAAACCCGCTCACTTCCTCAGGGACCTTTCCATCTTCCATTTTCTTTCTTTTTGCTTTGTTTGCTGTGCTTGTGTCTCCACTTGGCTCCCTCTCTCTCTGGGTGCTGCCACTTACTGAGAAAAGAGATGGCTATAAGTAGGCTGACAGAAACAAGGCACAGGTGAATATTATCAGCTACTTAGCCGACTGGAGTTAGCCCAGCGGGCTCTCCATCCTGCATGTGACACTCCGCCACGCTCCCTCCTCCACAACCCACTTATTCAATGTTTAGCGGTTTAGCTCCACCCACTCACACTGAAGAATTAGAAGCGTTTCAGACTGGGCTGATTTTTGGCACAAAACAGAGCA